AAGGAATGGAAATTGAGTTGGTGCCTGTGAATTTGGGAGGTTTTGTTTGTTTGTTTGAGGAGCCACTGAGTGGTACAAACAGATAAATGCTTCACAGCTTAATCTAAAAATTGATGGTTGAAATCCACTCAGAGGTGACATAGAGAAAGCCCTAGCAATCTACTTCCGGAGATCACAACCATTTAAAATCCCATGGAACACAGTTCTACTCTGACACATGAGGTTGCCATGAGTTGGAATTGACTTGAGGGCAACTGTTTTTTGTTTTGTTTCATTGAATGCCATCTGTTAGGCACTGCCCTGGTTCTTGAGGAACATCATAGTAGACGAAAAATTCTCTACACTCTTGGAACTCACATGTTAGTTTGTAATAAAGAATATAAATCACAAACATATTGAATATGTAAATTAGATAGGAGGTTATCAGGTGACCATTTCCATGGTGAGCAGAAATAGAAGAGGATACAGAGCTTGGGAGTGACTGGTGATCTTATACCACAAGCCTAACAAAGTTGGCTGATACTTTTGTGACCTTTCTTCTCCTGCCACACATGAGCATCTTCAGGAGGAAGAGAGCATGACCCATAAGTGACATCACCACATCTACCCCATTCCACACTGTCCTAGGAAGTTTTAAGAGCATTAGTAATGGACAGAGGACACTGGAGGAGGAAGTCTACATCACGTCTCAAATCCCTCAGCTTTGTGCCACCAAAGACTTCTTCAGGGGAAACATCTACTGGGCTCTTCCTCTCCAGAGAATTCAAGTAGTCAGCAGGCCATGAGATGCTCCTCAAAGAATGACACTGCACTGTTTATTTTCTTCCAAAATCAGGTTCTAGCAAATTATCTCTAAGTATATATTTAGAACGAATAATTCTATAGTGGATTATTCTCAAATTATTAGGTAATATATAGGAAGCATCACATGTTGATAAGCATTGATAGGCACATCAGTTAGTGAATGTTTCACATGATACTTTTATCTTTGAATGGCTCTCTGGTTTAGCAAGGCCCTTGTAGATCATGACATCCAACACCTAACCAGTGTTTGCACCCCCTTCTGCCCCAGGACTGCGAGGCCTGATGCTGTCGGTCATGTTGGCCTCTCTCATGAGCTCCCTGACCTCCATCTTCAACAGCGCCAGCACCCTCTTCACCATGGACCTCTACACCAAGATGCGGAAGCAGGCATCGGAGAAAGAGCTCCTTATAGCTGGAAGGTAAGAGAACTCTCGTTTCCACCTGAAATTTATCTGGAAAAATACAAATGTAGAAGTGAACGAGAGCTTCTTCATCTTGTATTCCAGTGAAACTCATGCAGAATGTTAGAGAGGGGAAAAAAAA